CTGGGGATAACTCGCCTACCCGGGACAACTTTTTACTTGTTTCCAGACCCTTTGAACATTGATAACAATGCGTGCGGTTACCAAGCATAGGTAAGTTGTCCTGGGTGGTAGGGTAACCCTACCTGTGAAATTTTGCTCGTAAACCCGGGCTATCTTTGACCCGCCTGCTAGCGTAACCCTAGCATAAGGGTTACCCTCCTTGCTTGTAAACAGGGCCTTAGAGTACAAATAACGCGCGAGACGAGTACAAATATCACGCGATATTTGTACTCAGAAATACCCGCGAAGTTGGCCCGCTCTAAAAATAACAATTCGCCGTGTTGAAAAATAAATCTCTTATTAAACTTTTTAATGTGTAGTATCACTGAATATTTTTACTCGTTGTTTGTATTTTGACGAGCCTGTGGGGCCAGTCAAAATACGGGACAACTCGTAAAATTCTCAGCGATATTACACAACAAAACGTCCAATAAGATATATGTATTGCATATTGGCAGAGTAAAATGTCTACAAGGATTGCACGATAGTATGATAGGATCTCTTTCTACAGATTTATTGCTTAGCTCGATCGCTCGCTCGCTCCGGATACCGCACTTAGCATAAGATGAGAGTTTTTATGTTGGAAAATGCCTGATGATAATTAACTTGACGGTCTCAGCAAAGAATCACTCACCTACACACTTCCTCCACTCACTGGGATGAGTTTTGAAAAACTTGTCACATGAGCAGTTGTAACTTCCCACACTGTTAATACAGGTTTGCATACAGTCGCTTGAAGGATTGCATTCATCAACATCTGCGAGCAAATAAATAAAAACATATTTTTTCTTGTCGTCGAGGAAAACTTTAGACGTCTCATTTACGGGGACTGCGACGTAGTCGACCTTTCGTCCGCTAAGTTTTAAGTTGAGTTTGAATTAAATTTGTTCTGAACATCGATCAATACCAAGGATGGCACGTTAGAACAGTTTGAAGCGTGTGTCATGTGTAAGGATAGCCATGAACTTTATGCCTAACGGCGACAAGAAAAAATCAAACTTTTTACTGTCATCTGTCAGTCTTTTGTGGGCTACAAAAAATAAATTTAGCTGTAAATTAGAGACTTTCTTTTGAGTAAAATCAGAGTTCATTTCAGTTGTTAGTTTGGTAGGGATGTTGAATTTGACAGGTATGATGTTTACGGCAAGGGGGAACAAGAAAAATGAACTTTAATTTAATCATCCCGGCCTATTTCCAATTCAAAACTGGGTGCCACATCTGGCTAAATTCCAATTCTAATCTAGCAATGAAGTTTCATGAGTTTTGTTACAGAAGTCTTACCATCACAAGTGCGCCCGTTATCATTCAGCGTGTATCCATCACGACACTCACAAAAGTAAGATGCTGGAATATTGACGCATATCTGCTCACAGTTGTTCGATGAATAAGTTTGGCATTCGTCATAGTCTACGGAAAATATCGCACCTCATTTTCTCAGAATTTTATATTTGACTTTATTACTTATTTGTTATGAACATCATTTGCAAGAACATTTTTACGGTACGATCAAAAACATTCTGCGATGCAACTCCTGACTTAATAATGTTCTAAAAATTTTAGTGACTTTTATAAGAGAGAAGCTATTCACAATACACTTTAGTCTGTTTCACTGTTTTGAGGAAGGTGAGGCGGGAGAAGGAGGTCGGTTTTGATGCAGTTGTCCTTTTTTCGGAGACTAAGAAGCGAAAAGTGTTTTATAGACTTTTCCTGAGAGATTTATCTCATGTTTAAGTGCTTAATTAAATAAAACCATGACTTTTGATAACCTAAACGTCTTCCCAATTTAAATTTTACTGAATCAGAGACATCCCCACGTCAACCCACCTACACACTGCGCTCCATCTCCTGTGTACCCTAATGGACATGGTCCACATTTATATCCACTGGAATTTGCTGGTGCAGGAAGATCAGTGCACTCAACTCCTGTGTAACACGGCTGACCATTCATTTCGCAGGCGTCAATGTCGCTGTCACAGAACCTTCCTGTGTAACCTCCTTGACATGCACAGCCCATGTAAATAAACTTGCTGTCAGTATTTGCTGCGTCGCCGTCTTCTGCTTCCACGCACTGACCACCATGTTGGCAGGCGCACAAGTTAATGGTTGGACTCAAACTAGCGCTTGCACCTTTGTCGTCAGTAACAGCGAAGGTCATGTTGAACTATAAAGAAAGAAAACATTCGTTTGTGAATTGTTTCCCTTCTTCGCTTTGTCAAGATCTCTTCTTTCAAGAGAATCTGAATTGTAATTTTGTAAGGATAAGCTGAAAGAAAATGTTTACCATTCAAGAATTACCTTTTGTGATGACGTTACGAGCCAATGAAATGAAAGCATGTTTCCAGTTTGGTTCCAAGTGGCTCCTGCAGGGTTGTTAATCACGTGAAACGTAATGGAGCCCTCGTCCACAGCTGTTACATTCAGCTCAACTGTTTCGTAGAGTGTGGCATTTATCACATTTGAACCGTTTACTATCTTGGGCGGAAAGTTGTCTGCAAATATTTGAAAAAAATGCTAAGCTAAGTTATCAATTGCGAAAAACGTCTGTAAAGTGGAACCTTCTGAACATCGGCAAATCGTCCTATGTCTACCACTTATGAAGTCATTACAGATATATCCACGTGCTCTGTATTGGATCAGTTTAACATGTTTTTTTCAGTAAAATACTCTCTTCTGTTGTTTGCAAACTATTTTTGTTTTTATGTCGGAGAGCCATTCTTATTAATTTTTCGCGTAAAAGGAAGCAAGAAAGTCAAAAGATAAAAGAATAAAAGAATTTGGACTCCGAGAAATATTCAATGACCAAATCGACTTTTTCTCCATAACTCACCCAGTGTGTTCGAGTCATTCACTAGCTGGACGCTTATGTCTTTGGTTGCCAGGCCCACAGACAAGTCGTTGGTGGAAGCCACGTCAAACAGACACTCGTGATCATCTCCACATTCTGCCTCAGCTTTCTGTCTTAAGCTGTCGTTATGCCACGTGATGTTGTCAGCAAACATGGGCTCAAAATCAGGGTACGAATAAGTGGCCACGCTTTCGTTTTCAGCGTAGGTGAAAAGAGACTGGGATTGGTCAATCTGCCCTAAAAGATATTAACATTAATACATTAATAAGTGTGATTGCTCAGGTGATTGTAGAGATGCGCGCGCTCTGATTGGTCGAGGATTGCTTCATAGCTCGTTATAAAGGTAAAGGTCTCTATTTGTCTAAACAACATACGTGTTTAGTTACAATATTTTTAAGGTTGAAATCAGACAGGCGCCTCTGGCAGCCGTGTTTAGTCCGTAGCGATTTCACCTACCCACCCAACCCACCCCAGGGAGGACATCCATCACACAATAACCTCGTGAGTGGGAAATTAAAGTCTCCTACCCCAACCCTGCAGGGGACGGGACCTCCATTTATTCGTTCCTATCCGAGAAGACTAGAATATCTAACCATTTCTTGATGTTAAAGAAAGAAAGCATATTCTTCTCAATTAATTTTAAGACCCTGAGTGTTGGTCCGGCCGGTATTGAACTCTCGACCTCCCGCACAGCAGTCCGGCGCTCTCCCAATTGAGCTAACCAGGCGGCGGTTATCACCTTGCGCGAGGTGATTATAGCATGGGCACTAGACTGCTTCGCGGTTTTTCAATGTTTTCGAGGAAGTTATAAACGCGATAGAAGAAAATTCAATCGCGAAGAGCACAAAGGATGGTACTGAGTTGGGCGGAACACTTTTCAAAAGAAAGACCTGATATGAAACCTGCTAAGACTTCTTGCTTATATTTATACGAGTATTCACAATTGTAACAAAACATGGTCAATGCTTTCTTTATTTACAGAAGTTAATGCACCTGAACAATTATACTAAGAAAGTTTTTCACCTCAGGCTCAATTAACATGGTTGATTATTCATCAATATTCACTGAGGCGAATAATTGACAAGTAAGGCAAGAATGGGTAAGACCAATTTACATGATGCGAAATTATGTATTAATAAGACTAGTCAAGTCAAAACGGAACGATAAAGATATCTTCCATTCGTGTGCCGTATGGCTCTTAAAAGCGGCGTGGTCTTTACTTGTGACGCGAGCAACAGCACAATAACATGTGAAGATCATGCGCAACACGACACCGCAAACAAACTGTAAGAGCTAAAAGACACGTATTAATCCTTGATACAGCATAGGACTTGCTATCTATTCCATTTACATTTTTGCTGCGAAGACGTTTGATGCGTTTCATAATAATATTGTACTTACATTTGACCCCAAATCCGTAGTGAATCTCTTTTAATGATGACGACGATGATAAAACCGTCCCATCAGGCAATGTAAAGTCATCGTCAGGGTCATCGTTCCACGTTCCCAGCAATCCTCTCGTGGCGTTTTTCAAGATATCACCAAGAGTAACAACGAACGACATCATTTCCTTCTTCTCACAGAACTGCACTGACGATGTCGACGGAAAAGAAACTTGGAAACAATCATCTTCTGGTTTTGAGACTGAAAGATTTCCACCAACCTCCACAGTTCGATTTGTTAAGTTGTGATAACCATAATAGGGTGCACTGTCTATCATTATATCGAAGCCACCTAACAAAAGTATGCAGCAAGAGTTGTATTGAATCTACTTTGCAAACTTGGGCGTATCTAATAAAAATTAGGCCTGATCTTCAGGCCTGATCCGTACAGGCCTGATTCTTTTGCTATTGCATAAATAGCGCTCTCTACTGCGATAATCATGTATCATACGTAAAAATTAATAAGTTTATAGAGGTTTTCCTTTTGCTACATTACAAGCTCTTCACCGCATGCTCACCTCCGTCTTTCACTCGAACCTCGATGGTGCTCGAATTTTCTTCTTTAGCAGCTCCTGCTGAAAAGATGGTTGCTGTGGTTGAATTTCCCGGAGCGAGTTTTGTTCTGGCCTGAAGTTGAAATGTTCCATTTTGTGCATTGACCATCGTATATTCACCAAGACCGTTAAAAGTGTAGTTACCGCCGTCAAGTGTCTTGATATGAGGATCACCCCAGAACCATCCTGTATCAAAAGAGACACAGTCCTCTCGGTTGGCTTAATATTGCAAAGATTCTGCACTATATAGAGTATGTGGTTTGAACCTAAGAGTGAGAGTTGATAACGTTCTTTCTAGAAACTCTCCAATATCTATCAGACACGAAAGGTAAGTTTATGCTAACGTAGTTTTTTTTATGAACCGCGGCTTAAATCGAGAATAGCAGGAATTGCATGACAATATGCACACGAGATGTCACGAGATGATAAAATATGATTTGGAACATCAATGATATAACTAATATTATGAAAAACTCACGTCTAATTGGAGGCCTATACAGTGCGCAGCTGTCAGACGGACGATAAGCATAGAAGAAATGGCAGAAAGGTAGGTCTACGCAGCAATACTGGTAAGCCTGTTCGTCAGTGTAAAAGGTTTGGACCTTATTGTACCAGTAATAAAAAACTGTCACTTTTACTCGTCCTCCCTCAGGGGGGCCCTGCTTAAGAGCGGCCCAGTCTTCCCATTCCGTGGAGTAACAGCACTGTTGTCTCATCCGAACACCTATTAGTCCAGTACTCGTGGTGTGGCGATAAAAGAACCTGGATCGTCTGGACTCAAAACACCAGTCAGGCCATGAGTTCCACCAATTCCATCTGAATCGTCCCCGATCAAACCATGCCTGCCAAGCAGTACAGGGGCAGGCCATTTCCCGGTCTGGTTTTATGAGTCGGTCATACCAGTAACGGAATCCCCAGTATTCATTAAGTTTGAGCCAACTAAAGCATTTCTCCAGTGCACCTTCTCCATTACTGTTTTCAATTCTCCAAAAGTATCTTCCCTGCAAACCTGTGTTTCCTTCCTTCTTATCGAGGTCATACATCCCAAATGTGCCAGAACTGCAATCAGATAAATTACCCTCAAAAAATTCCTTTCGCTACCGTCTTTTTCAGCAATTAAATTATAAAGTCGAGATATCTATTGCTTGACTGTTGATGAGTGTGGCACCAGTAATCTCTCAAGAATAGAAATCGATAGCGAATGATTCAGTTTTTATTTAAAGTTTGAGGCTTTCCTTCAGTGACATGTTGATTCGATGGAAGATTCAATTGAGGCTTTCAACTGATTTCTTCGAATAAGGGCCCGTGCGCTTATTTAAAACTGTGACTAAATAGGGGCGCTTATTTGAGAGCGGCGCTTAATCGAAGGGGGTGCTCGTTAATTTTTCCTTAAAACGAACTGTAACTTTACTTTGGGATAATCCTTGATAGAAAAAACGAACACTACAAAATTATCCACGGAGACTTAAAGTCAATATTATCATGTCTTGTTTGTTCAAACTTAACGGGAGGGGGGTGCTTATTTGAGGAGGGGGGGAGGGGGAAGTTATCCAACATTTTGGCCTAGGGGGACACTTATTCGGTTAAGGGGGCTTATTCGAGCGTGGACGCTTATTCGAGGAAATACGTAGTTGCTTCATGTTCCCAACCTTCACCGATCTATGGTATCGACAGGCAGTGTCTGATGCCACAGAGCGGCCAAAGCTTGAATAAAATAGAAATACTGACATTAGCTAAAGGTCTCAATAGAATCGCCCGTATGACCCTTCAAACCCTGAGAGTGATCAGCATCTAATTACTCATTACAGTAATACAGCTGAGTCATTCATTAAGATCATGAGAATATAGAAAATGATTGCCAACACAGAGAACTTTGATTGGAAAACAAATTCTCCTTGCCAGTACCAAAAGAAATGTATAGCGAAGAGTGTAGAGAATATGGATACTGATGTTAGGGTGGAAAGGGTTAATTGTTATCATATAGAGTAACTGATTATTAAAAAATAAATAACAAGACAGGCGTAACCTTTTATTAAATAGTGACACAAATAGATCAAACTTTTAGGCTACATTCTTCGCTCGTTAACTATCACAGAATAGTTGGCGAGTAACGCAACCAATCAGATTGTGTCGCTTGCGACAAAACTTTGGTAGATCTGGATTTATATTGAAAGAAGGTAAAAATAAATTGAGTGTCGGGGCTCTTTAAGACATTTCAACTTAATTCTGAAAGTTTGAACCCATCTTTAACAGCTACAGCAAATAGCTTGAAAACTCCCTGAATTATACGATTTAAAAAAACCTTTGAGAACTTGTAAACGTAATCGTTTTGAGTAGATTATGTGGATGAAAACTCCCTTTCAGGCGTGAACCTGGATCTTTGATATCGGGTCATGCATTATTGCCTTAATAGAGGAATTTTACGAGTTGCGATCAGCCACGCAGTGTTCTTTGTATTTTCATAAACCATTGGGTGATAGAGATTGTTTGGGATATTCAGCCCTATGATTGAGTAGTCCATCTTACCCTTTCATATTGATATAATCTTTCCCATCATTCCCTGCATTCCATCCGGCTACAGGAAGACCATAGGAGTCTGTCCAGTAACGGTAATAATTCCTGCAAATGGTCGAAAATAGTCTTTAATGTTTGGTATTCTCTAAACTGTTTTTCCAGTTAGTTTGTCGCGACAATTTTCGTGACGCAACTTTTCCTCCTCGGTCAATGGTTTGGGGAATTCTAGTCGAGAATTTCTGAAGTTCCTTTATTTTAACCGCGCAGCGAAAAAATAAAGGCAACCAGTTTGTTAAACTGAACTTTAAATGGAAAATTTGACAACTTTAGAAAAATAAATTATAGTTTCCTCTTCGTTTCCTCCAAACCTAAGGTCTTTACAAATTAAAATCTGGAAGTTTTTCCCGAGCGAGTGGCGCATTCTCACATGAACATAACGGTAGATGTTCCATTTTTCTATTGGTATACCAGCAAATATACAAACCAATCAGAGCGCTTGTTGTGTCTTAGCTATGTCACAAATATGTTTATCCTGACTTTGATTTTTAATTAGGAGCATAGAAAACTTACGGATCTGCATCGATCACCCATTGAATTCCTCCATAAGGGTAGTTGTACATCAAAAATGTATTAAATCCATCAGTTATCAAGACAGTTTGAAATGTGTTGGTCTAGAAAATAATAAAATTCGCAGAAATATTTCAGATTTTGACATTTTGAGCCAGACGTTACTCTTTCCTGATACATTTTTTCTCTTATAAATGCAACAAGTTGCTGCACTACATTATACTTCATAATTCAAGCATGCAGTTATAACTGCTGGATTAATGATGTTAATGGACAAGTGTAAAATAATTTAGGGAGTAATGTGGTGTGTAACTTCAAATTACTAGAAATTTTCCCTTAAGTAGTGGAAGCAATCTTAAAGTTCTGTCCTCTTGATGTGTGGATGTTAAAATCATAAAAGTAAGGGAAATCTTTCCACTGCACGATTTGGGCCCTCACTAAACCTTGAAATAAAAGAGAATAAAATTGAATTCCGTGCTCTTTTTTTTTTTTGTGCTTGTCCAGGATCTGGCGAGGTGGTTTACTCAAGAGCAAGGACGCTGTAAGGTAAAGTTGATAGTAGCAACTATATGCGAAGACCGCTTTCATATTCATGCAGGTGTCATTTAGTTACATAGCTATCTATGCGTTATGATTATTACAAATAAAGTGTAAAATGCTTACTCGAGGACAATGTAAGTGAAAATTCTGCTCGTTGATATTTCGGTAGTAATAGTAGTACACGTATGGACAGAGATTTTTCCAGGTCACAACAAGGACCCAAGTGGCCTCAAAGTCGCCAAATCTTTCGGTGTAGCTCTGTACATGCTTTGAAGCCATATTCAGCATTTCAATTGTTGTTTCCTTGGTTTTCCTGTACACTTGATAATAAACTTTTGAATGACCGTATCTAAAAGCAAAATAAGTATCGGTTGTGGCCCAGAAGGGTGCTATAATGCCCATGTTTCTCAACCACCAGTAGATACCAAATTTCCGAGGCCACCACCAGCTCCACTCATAATTTAACTGGATTATACCATTTCGACAAATCTAAAAAAAAAGCAGAAGAAAATGATCTCAGAACTCATCATTAAGAAAAATAAAAAAAAGATGAAAAATAAAAACGGCTGTTCTCCAAATAGGGTGGACACATTTGCATTTGTAACGCAATGAAGGTATTTTGTGATGATGTACGAGAAATATGCGTACGTTGTGGAAACTTTGCTTCCTGTTCGATGAGCTTCGTATGTTCTATGGAGGATATTTTTGAAGACAAAGCGCTGATAAAACAACATATCTTTCAAAAACCTCAAAACAACAAATAGTTGCCCGAGTGACTTTGCACAGGCAGCCCAAGGGTATTCTTTGGAGCAATCTTACTCTCACCTTCTCCATTATTTTCACACAACTAAAGCGCAAAGATTTTCTAAAAGTTAAAAAAAGTTCTGTAATGTATCCAATAGGAACATTTTACTCACGTATAACTTGTAATGCCTTTCAGTGAAAAACGGAAATCCAGTCCAGTCTGTGTTGATCCTCAAACATCGTTCGGAGTAGAAAGAAGTATCGTCAAGACGAAGTTCATTATCCTTCTGATCTGGACCATAAGGATACAAGTTGCTTCGGATTGGGATTGCTTTGAATAAAGATATAAGTAACGTAAGACGTACATCAGTTACTTGTTCAATGCCTTTCCTGTACCACATGTATTGACCATTCTTCACAACGGAGAATGAAGTTAATTATAGTTTCATGTCTAACTCCTTTGTGGTAACTAGTTTAAACCAAAATCATCTTTCCCTTCTTTTATAATGCAAACACAATGACCTCAATTTTGACTAGGGAGACCTCTTTCGTTATTGGAGGTATCATGCAAAATCAGAAAGTACATATTTTAAAAGCCAAAGTAGTGAACTCTGTGTAACAAAATATTCACTGGTAGCTCTTTACAAATAAAAATATCGGAGACAGTGAAGAATTACAAATCGATGCGTACATCCCCTCCTTTGTAATTAGTTTCAAGAGAAGGAATAAATTCTAATGAGACCTTAAAGCCATTATTAGTATGGCTGTTGGTAAGGTATTGTGTTTGTTCTAATTTATTTTAGTGTAGACCACATAAGTGAATAATACTTTTCGCGCACGCTGGTAGTGAATTGCAAATACTATTCACCTTTAAGCAGCCAATGAGACAAAATCGTTCGTCAAAAGTTTAATTTCCGACCGTTATTCGGTACATTGACAGAAAAATGAATACTTTCGTATCGGTGTGGTATTCACATTGTGTCTTTAAGTGGAAAATTTGACGTTTCCCCTTCGCGACTCAGCATATATTCATACTATTCACTTTCAATTTGGCGAATAATGTTAACTATCAGATATTATTGTTGTATTCATACTGCCATACTACATAATCTGACGACAGACACTAGATTTGGATTCGATTAAATCACTTAAAAATCCACAGGACTGAAAGCTTTCTTACCTGTTGTAGCTGGAGTTGTGGTAGCTGAGACAAAAAAGAAAAGTAATAATCAGACACAAAGTATTTTATTTCCAATGTAAAAGTCAAGGGGCTTCGCATCATGTAGTTTGATGAAAATGAGTTTTGTGAATACATACAAGGTTATGTAGTGTATGACGTCATAAGTGTAAGAAAGTAACGTAACGCATCCCAAGTAGGTTATGTAATAAAATGTACTCATTGCGGTATGTTACGCTTTGTGTTCTAAAAGGTAACAACATGAAAAGCATTGCAACAATTTATGGAACATAATGTTGGTAGTAGGTAGTGACAATAGTAAGTCATGTAATAACCCTTTTCTCAAAATCATAATGCATGGAAAAAAGGAAAGGAGGATTAGCAGCGTGTATTTTGTCATAACTGTTAGAAATTATCACTCTAAGTTAGGAAGGAAACAGAATTACAAACATGTTTAATTTCAATTGTTGTTAAAGGAAGTAAAGTAAACAAAATGAACGCTTTCTCAGCGTTCATTTTCTAAGTGTTCATTTTCTAAAGAAATGACTTTTTTGTTACCTGAAACATATATGCAACAAATAGCACTGTGAGATAGCAATATACTGACGACTTTAAGAAGTGCAGGTAACGCTGTTCAAGGAAAAAATTACGTATGGCATAGCACTTACAGACAATTGGGCTAATGGAAGTTGGTGAGACACTGTAAACTGAACTTGATATGATACTGCTACTTGAACTCGGCCAAACACTGGAGCTGCTGCCACTTGACCTCTGTGAGACAGTGAAGCTGCTGCTACCTGAACTCAATGAGACACTGGAGCTGCTGCTACTTGAAATAAATGTGACACTGGAGCTGCTGCTACTTGAACTCAATGAAACACTCGAGCTGCTGCTACTTGAACTCAGTACAACACTAGAGCTGCTGCTACTTGAAATCGATGGGACACTGGAGCGACTGCCACTTGAACTCGTTGAAACAATGGAGCTGCTGCTGCTAGAACTATGTGAGACAATGGAGCTGCTGCTATTTGAAATCAGTGCGACACTAGAACCACTGCTACTCTCACTCAGTAGGACAATGAAGCTGCCACTACTTGGCCTCAGTACACCGATAGAATTGCTACTACTCAAACTTTGAGAGATAGTGAAGCTACTGCTACTTGAACTTCGGGTGACAACAGGGCTGCTGCTACTTTGACTTGGGGGAATAGAAGAGCTGCTGCTGCTTGAATTTAGTGTAAAAATGGAGCTACTGCTTACTGAAGTTAATGAGATGGTGTAGCTGCTGCTACTTGAACTCAGTGCAGCACTAGAGCTACTGGTGATTGATGTTAGTGAGACACTGGAAATGCCGTTACTTGAACTCAGTACAACACTAAAGCTGCTGGTAATTAAACTTGGTGAGACACTAGAGCTCCTGGTACTTGAACCGAGTGCCACAACAGAGCTGCTGCTACTTGAACTTAGGGAGAGGGTGTATCTGCTACCACTTGAAGTTAGTGAGATAGTGGACCCGCTATAACTTGAACTTAGTGTGAGACTAGAGCTGCTGTTAATTGAATTGGGTGAGACACTGGAGCTGCTGCTACTTGAACCTTGGGCGAAAATAGTATATTAGCACATACTATTACCAAAGGTTGATCAAAACGTAATCAAACAATCACTGCCAATAGTAACGGTAAAAATTGCTTTAAGAACTACTCAACTCTGCTTAATAACAGTAGTACTCACCCCTCTGATAAAACGTCGATGCTATTGTGATGCAGGGACAGTAGCATAACGAAGAGCTAGAAACTCTGGAACTGACTGTGGTCGAGGATAAGAAATTTAAGTGCGAATTGCTTCCATCCCTCCGCGAATCGTAAACAAATAACGAAGAATTATCAGACTTGAGATGAGACGAGGACGAGAAGATCTGGGAAACACTCCTTCCATCAGTTGATGGACCATGTAGCCATGAAGAACTTTCCAATCTCTTGGATTCACGTCCACAAGGGCAAGTACACAAGGATTCTGAACTAGAAAATGCTGTCAAATGGATGACAATACGAAACAGTTAATAACGCAAATATTGATGGCATTGGGAGGTCAGGTTTTGAGTATCTTTAATTTTGGGCATAGAAATTTTTGTCTTTATTAATGAATATCTTGCGTATTAATATTTTCCAAAGTTTACCATTTCTCAGGTTTGGGAGAGTGTTCATGTATGATGTTGGCTCACACATATTACTAGGAGCTCATCACTAATAACAAGTTTTCTTACTTATAACAATCGTCCCAAGTTTGAAATTCTAGCAGTATGTAAGGATCTAGTAGATGACCCTTGCACTTTATCTGGCTCTCTTAAAAGTCCTTCAAAATCTAACGTTAGAACCTGCATGCTCTTCACCCGGCTAATTTCCAAGATTTTACCAGCACTTTCCTCCTTAAAGCAAGAATTCCCAAACTCAAGAAGTAAGCGAAATCATGCTTTTAGGGCGAGTTTTAGGATGGGGTACATTTCTAAAGTTAGAGTGTTTAGAATTCTAGGAAGATTAGCAGATATGATATGAAGAATGGATACACGAATAAATAGAAAAGAAAAGTAAAATTAACCTCTTTCTTTTCCTTATCTTTCGCCATTATTACTATCGAAATCTCTATCATCATCGTTCTTATAATTTTTAAAATCCTTAAATATTTTTTTATCATCATTATTATTACTAATATTATTATTATTATTATTATTATTATTATTAACAGCTATTATCATCGGTACTCCATCATACTCACGTATTTCG